ATTGGGATGAGTTAGTTCAAGTATTTGGCAACCGTGAGTTCCTTGTATGCGTTATGGGGTATGTTCCTGAAACTCAGTGAAATTTATTGTATATAAGCATGTTTTATGATTAGACTATTGCATTACAATTGAAAATGATCTGTTAAAAATTGTGTGAGGTACATTGATAATTGTAAAAAAATGGTCTAAAATGTGCAGTTTACATGTTTTGGATGGTTCCACGGTTATTGGTAATGTGTCATTACCTAGTCAAGACTTTCATAATAAAACTAAACTTGGACATTTAAGATTAGGGAATGTTAGTGAAATGTATTTGGTTGGACTAGCTAAGCAAGGTTTCTTTGGTAGGAAGAAATTAAACAAACTAGAATTTTGTAATCTTTGCATACTAGATAAACAACATACATTGAAATTTTAAAATAGTATATGTCATTATAGTAAATTGTTTGAGTATGTTCACTCGGCAAGGGTGGCAACACATAGGGTGATTTTTATTTTCTTACTATGATTGATGATTTTTTTAGAAGAATATAAATTCACTTTCTGAAATATAAAATTGACACATTTGAAAAGTTTAAGCAATGACACACTTTTATATGGAATCAATTAGGAACTAAATAGAGATTTTTAAGAATTTGCATTGATCTCGAGTTTGATTCAGAGAACTATAATAAATTATTTAGAAAACAGTGTATAAAGTAGAATATAACCAAGTTTGACACGCCACAATAAAATGTCCATGTTGAATGCACAAATATGACCATTTTGGGTGGGTAAGGTGCATGTTCTTGGAAGTTTAGTTACCCAAGAGCTTTTGGGGGTGAAGTTATTGTTACTGCATGTTATTTGATCAATAGATTCCCGTCTACATGAATAAGATTCAAGACACCTATGGAAATTCGAAGTGAAAATCAGTAGATTACTTTAGTTTAAAGATTTTCAAAGCTTTAACATTTACACATATCAATCAAGAAAAGTTTGATACTAGAACTGTAAAATGTGTCTTCATTGTTTATCCTATAGACATAAAGGCATGGAGGATCAAGTTTATCAAAAGAAAGAACATTATTGTAGAAAGTACTCTACTCCCTCTGAGAGTGTACTTTGACCTCTTGGACATAATCAAAAAGGTGAAACACATTCAAAACACATAGATCACATGTAAATAAAAAAAGTTACCTTATAAAGAGATGAAAAAGAGAAGTCCATAGTAAGGCATAAAAAATAGGACCTAAAAGTGTGCTTCTCTCCAAAGAAGGTAGCATCCATCTTTGACATTAAACGGTACGTAACTTTGGGGAACTTTTCCCCCTTAATTCTTTCTTGAACATAACTCATAATTCTTTGAAGCTTTCTAAGCTGAGAGGTAATCCTGAAATCTACTTATTTCTTGTTTAGATTCCTTTCAAGAGATAATTATTTCTTCTTAAGAAATATTTGGACAATCTATTTTTAGCCTCTTTGATCTTTTGGGCCTAGTATTAATATTGGGCTCTAGACATACTGATTTTGGCACCTCTTTTCTCCAAGAACACTTAAGACTCAACTAAAGGTTAGTAAAAATAATTTCAATTGAATAAGCCATTAATAAATCACTTACTAGAGAGTCAACCACTCTTTTATAATTTTTCAATCTCTATTAAATATACTACCTCAAAATCTCAAGATAACTTGAGAAAAGAAAACTTCCATTTTTTTATAGAATGACAAACCACTGTCGATTTTCACTCTCTATAAATCATGTGATAAATCCATTACAAATTTATTATCTTAACCATCTAAGAGGTCTCATGGTCAACTTCAATAACTTGATCAAATCCATTGAAAAACATCATCAACATCTTAATCAAATCCACCAAGATTGACAAGCACCATCAAGTAACCACTTGTACACCTAAGATAGTATAGAAAGCTATTTCATCTTTCGATTTTAATTTGCATCATATCAGAAATATCATTGCACTAGGATTCGCTAGTAGAATCTAATCGGCAAAAAGATCATGCTTAAGAAGGAAATGTTTGGTTTAAAAAATATTATATCATTCTTCCTTCTTAGAAACTTGTTTTCAAATAAAAAAATTACTCACATTATCAAACTAAGTTCTAAGAGCCAGTTTCAGATTGTAGGTATCCCTTTTCATTTCGAAAGCATGAGTAATAAGAGTTTTTTAAAACTGGGAGAATGATCAACATACACTTTCTTATGGATGTAGTTGTTTTAGAATTCACTTTTACATCCATTTGGATTATATTACAAACACATAATGCGTGAGAAAGCTAGAAACATCCTTATGGCTTCTAGTCGAGCTACAAGAGCATAACATTGAAATATATATTTTGATGTTGATTGTAACCTTTCACAGCTACTATTGTTTTTATTTTTCAAAACATTTCCAAAAACATTAAGCTTGTTGTAAAAGATCCACTAAGGTATCAATCACTCAATTAGTTTTAAGAACTAGTTCCCAAAAGTTGTTTCTCTCAAAATTGATTTAATCTTTCTTGCATGGTAAGAGACTAATGTTCTTTGATGATTGCTTCATCAATTTCTTTACCTTAATTTATGAACCCAAATCCACAAGGTTACATACCTTGCTAAAGGAGTGTTGAGATGTAATTTCCTTAGAAATATATCCATTAACATTTTGATTCTTAATGAGATGGTCCTTAACGGTCCTTCATTCTTAAGGTATACTTTGACTCTCTAACTTGAATCTCTCCATTTGGATTTTGAAATTCATCTTGTCTTTGATATTTTTATTTTCCTTGATCATCATTTTCCAAGAATGTTCAAAAATCAAATATTCAACGACTTTGTCTGATTGTTATTTTGCGAAGAGATTTTTTCTCTCGTAAGAGTGGAACAATAAAACATATTTATTTTTTCAGTTGTGTGACTTAAAGAGTAACCGTCAATATCATCATTTGTGTCACAATTTGACTTTACTACCTTTGGTATCAAAATTTTTTTAGATCCTTTGATGTTAGTGGAATACATATTATGGACATACATTTTTTTCTTTTTACTTTCACAATGCTCTATATAAAAGTATGAATGAGGATATCTTTTTTTCTCTCTCATGACTCTTTTTGATAAAACGAAACATGACATTATTTGTCTGTCTTTATTATAGTAATTACACTTTAAGATTTTCCATTTTGATGTGTTAGGCATTACAGATATTTCTAAAATTTTATTATCGTACTTAGGTTTATAACTAAGACCAGTCTTATTATAAGACGCCTCTTTGGTTACCTAATAAAAGATTCAAGTTATCTTTCTCTTTAGTCAATTTATTATGTGTTTTGAAAATCGTCAATTTTATTTCTCAAAATATGACATCTTAATTGATTAAGATGTGAACTTGCTCCTTAATCAATTAGCATAAAGCTCCGGATCTACTAAACAATGAATTTGACTTTCATAATTAATCATAAATGTTTGATAATTGATTAAACTTTTGTTTTTATAAGAAACGAGAAATGAACTAAGAGATAAAAAAATGTTTTAGTGGATGCGTACATCCCTTAATACTCTAAGATTTACTCTTAATTACTACATCTGTTCTTTTTTATAAAAGATAAATTATTTTTTTGGTTCATTGAATAACTAATATATTTTTGTCTGTTTATAAATTAGATGCATTAATTATTTAATGAACCTAAAAAATGAATTATCTCTTATAAAAAGGAACAAAGATACTATTTGATCTATAACTAATTGAAAAGACAAACTCTTAAGCACAAGATCAAACGAACTTTCAAATCCTTTCAATGTTGATCTTTAAAATTGATTTTTCTCGTTTTACTTTCAATATTGAAACTTGATCAACTTTATTTTTTATGGCTTGTTGTGTGATGATATACTTATGAGGATCTTTGTCTTTCTTCAATTATCATCATCAAAACCTATAAAATTTTAACTTGTAGAACATATAGAATCACATTTCTCTTTTAGAATCACATTTCTCTTTTTTTTAATGATGACAATGTTTATTTTGAGCTGAATGACAGACACTAATGTGCGATGAAATATTTTCTATGCGAATATTAGTGTCTATCATTCCGAAATGATAATATTGTTCATGATTTTAAGCTCTTGTGACCACGTTTTTTTAAAAGCTCTCTTGTCATCACTCATCTATTGTAATATTTTTATATTTAGAACATTTGTCTTCTTTCGTACAACATAAATAAAAAGTTCTCTGATTGAGCAATAAAATTTTCCCACAAGATGGTTAACAAATTACACTTGAAGCATCCCTTCATTTGTTATCAAGTATTTTGTTGTGGTGATCATTCCCTTTCTCTATTTATCCCTACCCAATAGTATGATGGATGCATAACACACAAACTGATTACTTTTTAGTTTCTCTTGTGATTTTTTGCATTTTATATACCTCATCTACAATTATTTTGGTTTAAGTTAAATTCTGTGTGTAAAAAAAAAGGTCATATTCTCTATATTTATAGCATTTTTTCAATATAAGAAAAAAAATGCTAAAATAAAATACAATTGCGTGGAGGATAAAATGTAAAATCTATTTTCGGTAGTTTATTTTATCGGAACCCAAGAAATAATCAAGGGTGAGCAGACAAAAAAACAAATTAATAATAGGTAAATTTTACATAATAGATGAGAGTTCTCTTCCATAAAACTATAATAAAAAATAGAACAGTAAACACCCTAAATCTTTCTAAGAAATTTTATATGCCTATTTCTTGAATAACCACTTCAGAAAGGTTGCGTCATCAAAGCTTTACCTCTAAAGCCCTCCTTTCTTTTTCTTTTTGCTGAAGCTGAACGAAAATATGGCCCATAGAACTTGTCTTTCTATGATATAACACCTCCATTCCACAGTAATATGAATAAGATTAACCTACATGCCGATAAACTTCAGAGGAAATGAAAATGCTAAAAACTTTACAACTAAAACCATCAAGAAATCAGGATGGTGATATTATGATATTTCATGAAGTTAAAATGTTCCTCTATCATTTCAATCCCTGCCACGACGATCACCAAATGCGCTAGGTTTAGCCGACCCAAAATTTCCAAAACCACTGGAGCGATCTGAACCACCAAACCCGCCAAAACCACCTTGCCGGCTAGAGTTAAATCCACTGGATGATCCACCAGATCTACTACCTGAATCACCTGAACCAAAGGAGCCAAAACGACCAGAGCTTGATCCGCCACCATATCCTCCAGATGAATTGCCAGAAAACCCCCCTCCAGATGGTCTTGAACCAGAAAACCTATCACCTGAATTACCATAGCCCCCAGAACGGCTACCACGGCTAAAACCTCCACCACCAAATTGGCCACTCGAACCTCCACCACCAAATCGCCCACCACCCATGCTACCAAATGCAGACACTGATCCACTATCAACGGCAATCTTTGGTAACTGTTAAACGTGAATATTGGGAAAAAAAGAGTGACCATTATCATAAGTTCACAAGACAGATGAAAAAATAAATTAATCATTATAAAATAATTGGCATCGGAAGAGAGAAAGCAAACAGTCCACAGTATAAATAAAAAAAACAATATCAGCTACAAATATATATACAAGGACCCTGTTACACTTCCTTTTTACAGTTCCGTATAGGGAATACATTGTTTTCAGCAATTCCTAAACAAAACTTTATGAGAAGAGCTAGCAACACATTATCTAACACACTTCCTCTTTATTGGTTGAAGTTATAATTTCAACCAATAAGAATGAATGTGTTAAAAGAGTGTGCAGCTAGTAGTTTTAAACTTAACAGACAGAATATAATATGAAAACAGGGAGGAACTTTTAGAACTAAGAAGACTTGATGTGTGCCAGACAATTAAGATTCAGTAACTATAGTTTGTCGGTACTGTGTTTCACATGTTCAGATGCCACTGGGAGCAACAGGAAGGCTGGGATATAAGGCAGGAGGATATGCTACCCTTTTAATAAACAAGGTACAGCTTCAACTAATAAAGATTCACAGGTGGAAATGAATAGAATGCAAGGAGAGTGAGTACCTCTTTAAATTTACAGCCTACGTCGCGCTCAATAGTCCTAAGAGTCCTGGATTGATCTTCTGAATAAATGAGAATAGCAGTTCCTTTCTTACCAGCACGACCTGTTCTTCCAGATCGGTGAACAAATATCTCTGAATTATTGGGAAGCTCGTAATGAATTACCTATATGAGGAAAAAGGCTCAAAATTTACAAATGTATAGAAAACAAAATAACAAGTAATAACAGCTTTATTGCTTTGAAGTATAGAGTATTTGCTTATGTATGTGACATATTACACAAAATAAATATCCAGTTACTTGCCCTGAACTTCCAAATAATTATTCAGTTTACACAGTAACAAAACATGATTTAAATCCAAATAGTCTTAATGGTTTGGAATGTGATTTACTTTTGTTCTGCAATAGGTTTACATCAACTTATTATGTACTAATATGTGGAATAGAATAGATTATATTACTCAACAATTTCAATGGGGAATAAAGGTAAAATGGAACTTACAAGATCAACATTAGGTATATCAAGCCCACGTGAAGCAACATCAGTCGCCACTAAAACATTAAAATGACCATTTCTGAATCCAGCAAGAGTTCTTTCTCTCTGAGCTTGTGATATATCTCCATGCAAGGCCTCACATGGAATACTTTTTGACATGCCATGTGATAATCGATCAGCATCACGTTTTGTTTGAGTGAAAACAATACACTTTCCTCCCTTTGCATGTTCCTACAATATGATATATTTTTTGAAGAGAAAACAAAATTAATTAAAGATGACGTTCTTTAAATAAATATTTGCATTAAACATATTTATATGCTGTAGCAAAATTTAGATCATTAATAGAACCATACTTTTATTAGAGGAACGAGAATTCCTGCTTTGACATATGCATCAGATGCAACTGAGAAGAGTGAAATCCCATCTGCCAGCTTCTGATCGGAATCTCCAACCTATGTATAAATAGAAGTTCACAATTAAATAATAACGAACATACCAAAATGACCAACTGTGTTGATCTCAAACAGTATGACTTCCTAAGCTTCTAAGTAACCATAGAAATGTTTAATAGCTTCCTAAACGCATATATAAAAAGCTATATTTTCTGATGAAGGATGAAAACAACTTCACTGAAACCCAATTTTTTGGTGTATGATTGAGACACTCGCACACTCACTTCTCATAGTTTATGTATGATATAATAAACTTATTGCTCAAAAGTGACAATATCCACTTGATTCATGTTCCTTACTACTACACTTAATAAGTTAATTTTCAATATTTTAATCATGGTTGGTGACTATTCAAGTAAACTAGACATTTGATGAAACTTGAACAATGCATATCCTCAATCCTTAAAGGAAAACTTACAAGATCAATGGTTATGGGATCTTTTAGGTAATTCCTTGTTAACTGCTTTATCCAAGTAGGCATTGTTGCAGAAAACATAAGAGTCTGTCTCTTTGCAGGCAACCTCTCCAAGATCTTCTCCACATCTTCCTGAAACCCCACTTGAAGCATCTGATCAGCTTCATCAAGAATAACAAACTGAACCTCCTTCAAATTCAGAGCACCTCTATTAAGAAGATCAATAATTCTCCCCGGTGTCCCAACTGCTATATCAACACCATAATCAAGCTGCCTCATTTGTTGAGAAATTGGTGTACCCCCATAAACACAGATAGTATCCAAATTAGGCGCCGCCTCATAGAATTCCTTCTCAACCTGCTTCGCAAGCTCTCTGGTCGGAGCCAAAACCAAAGCCAAAGGATCCCTTCCTCGCCTGCCAAATCAACCACAAAAAAAAAGGATATACTTTCACAGTTAAAGAAATCGATTGATCATGTATAACTTCGATTCAAAATTTCAAACACAAAAAACAGGACAGCGATTCAACTAAATATGATACAATAATTAAATAACAAACCCATGTTTAGCATTAAACTGAATGATTTTGTCAATGATGGGAATCCCAAAAGCAAGAGTTTTTCCAGTTCCTGTTCTAGCACGACCGATCATATCACGACCTTGCATAGCAGGCTCCAACACAGCCCTCTATAAAAAAATTTAAAAAAAATCAACCAACCAATGATTAAAGTTAACAACATCTCAAATTAACTAAATTATTAGTTATTAATCAATTAATTGCAAAACCCTAAACCTGAATGGGGAAAAGCTTCGTGATTCCTTTCTTTTCCAAAGCAGAAACAATATCCTGAGAAATCCCAAGCTTCGCGATCTCAAGACCATCATCACCGTTCGCTTTAGCAGGTTCCTCGAACGGAAAAGCTTCGGCAGCGTGACCAGCGCGGGAAGCCGAAGAAGCGCGAAATAGCAAGGGTTGTGATTTTGTGTGGAAGGGTCTGGCTGTGAGAGCAGAGAGTTGTCGGAGCTCGGCCGAAGCGGTGGTGGAAAGGAGAGCCTCGGCGGCGGGGATGACGCGCTTGGAGAGTGTGGAAGAAGCTCTTCGGAGAATGGCGGTGATCATGGTGATGGCGGAAAATGAAAAACCCTAACCGTGTAATGAAGATGGAATCGTGGGTTTAGGGTTTTGTGAGAAATGGGAATGGTTTATTTGATAAAGAAGATATTTTAGGGATAGTAATCGTGTGCGGGAGTTCTTTAGGATATCATGAGCCCCCACTTGTTGTATAGTCTTTGGCAGCGATAACCGTATGATTTCTTTTTTGGCTGTTGATATGTAGAATGTATTTGTTTTAGTTTTTTTTTAAATGATTTTTATAATTTTTTTTAAAGAATTATTTTGTTTTCAAAAAGAATTTAAATAAAATATTAATTTAATTTTTTTTAATAATTTATTCTTTTAGTATATAAACTTTTTTGCATATTCAAATTTTTGAGAGAGATGAAGAAGATCTTCGAAAAATGACGCTAATCATCGTGATGGCTAAAATGAAAAACCCTAGTATGGATACAATCGTGGGTTTATGGTTTTCTTGAAATGAAATGGTTTAATTTAATAAAGAAGAAGATATTCTGGGGTGATAATCGTGTGCGTGGGACTTCGTTAGGATATCATGCGTCCTCACTTGTTGTATAGGCTTTGATAACGACAAGTATATGATTTTTAGGTTGTTATTTTTTTAGTTTTTTAATTATTTCATTCTTTTAGTATATAATTTTTTTAGATATTAAAATTTTAAAAAAAAACTTAAATTTTGACCTATTATAAATAGCTCTTCGTAAAAGTTATTTTTGCATTTTTTTTTAACTTTGTGATTTGAACTGTGTTTTAATTTTGAATAATGTATATTATGTCACTTGATGTCAAAATTAATCTTTTAATTTATAAAAAAAATTGAGTTTGAAAAACTTTTTTATATTTAAAAAAAAATTAAAATAGGTTTAATATTTTTTTCGTCTGTATTTTTTGGTCAGAGTTCATTTTGATTCCTTAACTAAAAAGTCCAATTTGATTCCTTGGTTATTCAAATAGAGTCACGTTTGTTCTTGACATTAAAAACGTTTGTCAAAGTCAATGGAAATTCCATGTGTCGCTTAGTTGGACTAGTATATGCTTATGTGATCACTTAATATTGAGTTAGAATATTTCATTTGTTCTTTTTTTAGACGAAGGAATATTTTATTTACTTCGTTTTTTAGGGCTTCATTCACTTCATGTTTCTCTCTGACTCTCTAAGTAAAACGAATGAAGAACTACAATTTATAGAGTTGGGAACTATAAGAACAAAGGTTGAGAATGATTATTTGGCGGTTGAGAATGACAAAATGAATGATGAATAGAAAACCTGATGAAACATTTACTAGTAAGTTCAAAGTTTCGCCTCTTTCAAATTTAGGGTTTAGTGGGTTTTCAATTTTCGACCTTTTCTAAAATCGAGTTTACTTGGTTTTCGATCTATTGGGTGAAATTTGTTTGATTTAATGTTTCAAATTCGTTTTAGGTTATATTCTTCATATTAAGGTTTTTGTTGGTTCTTATTCGAAATGGTAATTCGTGTTGTATGATTATATGTTTATTTTAGGAATTTGTGTTGTAGCAATGTGATTGTATAATTTTTAGTGTACGGATATGTTTGGGTTTTACAAATTTGTGTTGTTGTTGTTTGTAAAAATAGCATTGGTTGCTTATGAATAAGTAGTTTTCCTTTTAGCTAAGTAAGAAATGGATGACTTTGTTCATGTTTTTATCCACCATGGATGTGAATTTCTAGATGTTTAGTATTCTATTTATGAATGATTAGTTTCTGAGGTGAGATGTAATGTAGATACGTAGAGTTATTTTGAGGTAGTACAGATAACTAAAGACCTGGATTATAAAGAAGATGGAATAATATTATACAAGGATCCCACATTTGGTATGTTTACTCTGAGTGATAACAAAGGTGTCCAAGATATAATTGATTTATGTAAGGTACATTTGAGTGTTCATATGCATGTAGAACATCCTCTTTCTCAACTTGACTATTATGATGGTCCTTTAGAGGAAGAGGCCATAAACCTATAGGATGTTGTTAATCTTGATGATGAAGAAGACTGGATTATAAAACTCTATGAAAAAGTTATCAAATATACAAAAAAATGGTGGAGATAAAATGACTGATGTTGAGATAAATAGGGTTAAGTTTAATGATATTGAGATGAATGGGGTGAAGTCAATGGGGCTGAGATAAATAGGGGTAAATTTAATGGGTATGGGGTGAATGGGGGGAGTTAATGGGGTTGAGGTGAATGATGGTGAAGTTAATGGGGATGAGATGAACGGGTTGAAGTTAATGATGTTAGGTTGACTAATGTAAAGGGAAATGATGTTTGACTCGTTAGTACTGAATCAGATGATGTTAATGATGATATGAACTTTCATTATGAGTGCCTTAGATTTCGCACTTTGTTGTACTCCAAAGTTTTCCCTCTCTTTTCTCAAGACATTTCTAACCAAAGATCTCAAATGCTCAAGGGTTCTCAAGGGTTTGATCAGACAAGCTCACCTCATAAGCACTGAGCCTCCAAATCAGGGTTTTGGTTTTCTCAAGGACAATTGGACTTTTGATGCCTCAAATGAATTTAATTGTTCATTATAGGTCTCCAAGAATTCTCATACCAAGTTTCAAGTCTTGTATCACAAATTTGCTCAGTCAATTGTTCAGATGACTGAAAATAAACTATATTTGGTAAAAAGTCAATTGTGGTCAATATACATTCAAACTTCATGATTCTTTTTCCAACATCAATATTTTGGAGTCATATTCATCAATTGATCAAGGGTTGATCATAATTCCTCAATAAAAGCACTCAAATCATCAAAGGGGCAAAATTGTCAAAATTAGGGTTTTGACTGAGAATGACTGATCATTGACTTTTGACCTAGTACATGACCTAAGGGATTGAAGCACGATCTTAAGGATTCAAACACAATACCTTGACATAATTTATGGCTCAAATCATTTCTCAAGATCCATTGATTGATAGTTGAAATTTGGATCAATTGATGAAAAGTCAATTGATTCACAAAGTCAAACTTTGACTTTTTGGTCAACATTGAATTTCAAAGATCAAAATTCATCAAGACATTCAAAAATATCAAACTTTGTCAAGAAGAATCAAGAAAGTCAAGAAAGTCCACAAAAAGTCAAAGTTTTCAATACTTAGAAAAATTCTAAGTGTTTTTGACCTTAATAATTTCACAACTTCATGGCAATTTTTCACCAAGATGCAAGATGATTCAAGGAAAATTTTCAACACGAAAGTTGTAGATCTTAATGAATTCTACAACTTTATACCTTAGGGTTGATGTCTAAAAAATGCTTAGATTTGAAGATATAAGCTCATAAAGTCATGACATTTTTCATAAAACACTTAGTGAAAATTTTAGCAAGTTTAGGCAGATTTTTGTCCTAACTTCTTGGCCAATTTTCACCTAGCTCCAATTTGATTTAGCCAAAGTGGTCAACATGAAGTTTGTAGACAATGTTTCAAGCTTTCCAAAATATGCAAGAACTTGAAGAGATCATGCTTGAGATATAAGTTTCGAAGAGAAGATGTTGGACATTCATTCTTGAATTATAAAGCATTTTTATGAAGAACACTTGAACAAATCTCAAGCCATTATGCCAAACAAGACATTAGATAACGCTTTTTTTGGATTTTAACAGTGCTGCTAAAAGTAAAGACAACACTTTTTTTCAATGTAAAAGTGTTGTTTTATGCCCACTTTAGGCAGCGCTTGTACATTAAAAGCACTTTCTTATACACCCCCTTTAGACAGCGCTTTTTTATATACCCCTTTAGCAGCGCTTTTGCTTTAGACAGCGCTTTATGTTATTTTTTAAGTTAGGCTTTAGACAACGCGTTTCTTTAAAAGTGATGTCTATTCCCCCACTTTAGACAACGCTTTCCCACTTTAAGCAACACTTTTTTTGACTTTTTACAACGTTTTTCTCTTAAAGCGCTGTCTATTGATCATGATTTTTTTTAATAAAATACCTATTTTGACTTACAAAAGTGTTGTCTAATATATGTAATGCATTTTAATCAGATTTTAACCATATTTGAACCAGGTTTTCACCATATTATGCCCCATATTTGGTAGCTTCATTCCAATAAAATATGCATATGTAAAAATTCCATATATATATATATATATATATATATATATATATATATATATATATATATATATATATATATATATATATATATATATATATATATATATATATATATATATATATATATATATATATATATATATATATATATATATATATATATATATATATATATATATATATATATAAATTGATGATATATACAACAACAACTATAAAATTTATGATACAAGTTAAAATTCTACAAGTTGAAAATCCTTAAATTTAAAATTGATGTTACATCTACATCTTACTATCTTCGAGAATTCTCATAAAACAACAACAACATGAATATTGTAGCCCTATCTTCTACACATGCACCTATAAACCTAAAAAAAAAACAAATGATCGAAATTCATTACATGATAATATTAATGTTACACTTTATTCGAATTTAATTTATACTCAAAACTCGAAAGTTCTCATCAAAGGAAATAAGACAATATACCTTAGCTTATACAATTCTCAACCCGATAATGAATTGACATCATTCCTCCATAAGTTCATCCAATTGATCTTTTGAGTAATGTGCACAATTGACTTCCTTAAAGTACTACCTATATAATAATATAACATAGTATGTGATTTAGTTAAAACAATATGTCATTTTATGAGAAACACAAAATATGAAAATACTATGTAATTCCTAAGTTAGAAATCCATATCGTGGATGGAATCTCTAATCGATCCAAAAGAATAGTTTATTTCATAAACCTCAATATGAAATAGATGCAATCTATACCGTTACGCTGGCGAGGAAACTACACATGGAAAGAAAATACGAATATATATCAGGATATACCCCTTAAATTGTTTTATCAAGTATCATCACTAATGTAATCAAAACTGAATATCTCTT